CTAAGAATGTGGTGAGGGACAAACTCAATAGGGTTAGCGCCACAATAGCTTAATGTTTAAATTCGAATCTTCATGATAATTTGGTAGGACTAAACTTATTTTTGAACCAGAATCAACACACCCTATCAATAGTTGTTGAAATATAAAAAACTAACTTAATTTGTTGATCTAATGATATAACGGTGATATAATTTAATAAAATTATTATGATCATAACTGTTCAATTTTTTTTATTGTGATTTTATCGCTTATCGTACCATTGGATCAATAAATTTAATCATTTTTTTAAATCCTAATAACACTTGATTTCTAAATGTTTTCATTTTTCAATTTTTATTTTTTTTTTGAAATCGTTGTCACAATAATAATGCACAGCCCATCCATCACAGGAAAGAGGAGAACAAGTTGATAAGGGTATTGACAAAACAGAGGATTACAAGGATTGGATAAGACAGGTCCTTCCTCACAAGCCTCTCACTTGAGGATAAGATAAAACCCCAACCTTATGGCTCTCCCTCACCCCACTCTCACATTTCACAAGGCATGTTATAATATCCCTTGAAATTAATTACCTTTTTTTTCCCACAGTTTTTTTTCCCACAGCCCCAAATTATATAAGTCCACCTCATCAATATCATGCTGCTCTCTGTCTTTCCACACCATTGATTTCTTTATGCACTACTCGAATAGCAATATGGTTGTACTTTTTTTGTTTTAACAAAATAAAAAGATGGGGTACTAGTAAGTAGTAATTTTTTCTGAACGTGACCACGAGGATTTTTCACTGTGAAATATTCAATTTGAGTCATAGATACTAATCCAGAAAGATAGTTCGTTACCACAGCACCACTAAAGTTAATCAACAAACTGTATTACATACGTAAATCGAATCCTACTTAATAATTCACATGGGAGTCAAGAATAACCGTAAACGGATATGACTTACCACTAGGCCACTAGTTCGAATGGTTAATTATAATTTTCTAAGTAATTACCTTTGCGGAGTAAATAATGCGGGTTATTGTATTCGGATCTTCCCTTTTTAAGTTCATAAGTTCGTGTCTAATACTAGGCAATTGTGACTCAACTTAATTTATTAATTGTATCAGATGTCTGCATAATAACTCAATTTATTTATAAAATTTATTGTGTTAAAATTAACTTGCATAACCACTTAGTGAGAATTCAAAGACCAATTTCGACTAAACCCACAAATCCTAGGTAATTCATAAATTAAAAACCTACTGGACTCATATCTAGCAAAAACAAGCAAAAAATTCTACACTTTTACAAGAATCATGAAATACTATATTCACAAATAAAAACTAAGTAGACATTTTCTTCGTACAAAAGAAATTAAACAGATTATATCAGTCAGAATCAAGTTATTTATGTTTGACACCACCAGAATTAGGGGTATTCAAATTTTTGATTGGCCGCAATTTACTATCCTTCCCGACCCTACCCTACCCTATTGAACGACTAGCCGTAAAAATTGGATAGGAATACAGTAGAAGTTTTGGTCTTCCGATTAAATTGGTTAGGAATGAGAAATACCCATCAATTTTCACATTCCTACCCTACTCTACCTGTAAAAAATATATTTAATTTTTTTATATTTTTTTTAGTAATTATAACAGTATTTGTGTAGTATAATTTATATTATAACATTATTATTGTTGTAGATGTTTGAGTTGCGAAAATATGGACTTGTTTTTTATGTAGGTTACATGATTTGTAATAAACTGGTGATCTATTGAACTAGTTATTATTTTAATGTGTTTTCATATAGTTTAAACTTAAAATAATTATTATTATATTTGTATAACAATTATGATNTACCTTTGCGGAGTAAATAATGCGGGTTATTGTATTCGGATCTTCCCTTTTTAAGTTTATAAGTTCGTGTCTAATACTAGGCAATTGTGACTCAACTTAATTTATTAATTGTATCAGATGTCTGCATAATAACTCAATTTATTTATAAAATTTATTGTGTTAAAATTAACTTGCATAACCACTTAGTGAGAATTCAAAGACCAATTTCGACTAAACCCACAAATCCTAGGTAATTCATAAATTAAAAACCTACTGGACTCATATCTAGCAAAAACAAGCAAAAAATTCTACACTTTTACAAGAATCATGAAATACTATATTCACAAATAAAAACTAAGTAGACATTTTCTTCGTACAAAAGAAATTAAACAGATTATATCAGTCAGAATCAAGTTATTTATGTTTGACACCACCAGAATTAGGGGTATTCAAATTTTTGATTGGCCGCAATTTACTATCCTTCCCGACCCTACCCTACCCTATTGAACGACTAGCCGTAAAAATTGGATAGGAATACAGTAGAAGTTTTGGTCTTCCGATTAAATTGGTTAGGAATGAGAAATACCCATCAATTTTCACATTCCTACCCTACTCTACCTGTAAAAAATATATTTAATTTTTTTATATTTTTTTTAGTAATTATAACAGTATTTGTGTAGTATAATTTATATTATAACATTATTATTGTTGTAGATGTTTGAGTTGCGAAAATATGGACTTGTTTTTTATGTAGGTTACATGATTTGTAATAAACTGGTGATCTATTGAACTAGTTATTATTTTAATGTGTTTTCATATAGTTTAAACTTAAAATAATTATTATTATATTTGTATAACAATTATGATGGATTGATATTCACGTTTTCTTATATTTTATTGTAATTGTTATTGTAGTTGTTTTAAATTTTAGTGTTATTGATTTATTGTGTTATTAAATTGGTGCATGTTATTTAATTGAATTGTTAAAATGATACAAAAATTAATAGTTATAAAAGTGTTTATCCAACTTCCTATTCAATTACTCGGGTAAGAAGTCGGGTAAAAATATTACACCTAATTTGGTAGGGTAAATCAAGAAAAAAAATTTTCTCAAAATATCGAATAGGAAGACAAAAAACTATAATTTCTATTCGTAGAGTTGGTTGAACATCCCTACCCAGAACTCTTTACTCTTTGTACTATAAAACATAAATTTTTTGGGAAGATATTAAAAAACATAAATTTTTTGGGAAGATATTAAAAAAAATATAAATCAAAAAAATACTATTTTATCATGGCNACACCACCAGAATTAGGGGTATTTAAATTTTTGATTGGTCGCAATTTACTATCCTTCCCGACCCTACCCTACCCTATTGAACGACTAGCCGCAAAAATCGGATAGGAATACGGTAGAAGTTTTGGTCTTCCGATTAAATTGGTTAGGAATGAGAAATACCCATCAATTTTCACATTCCTACCCTACTCTACTTGTAAAAAATATATTTAATTTTTTTATATTTTTTTTAGTAATTATAACAGTATTTGTGTAGTATAATTTATATTATAACATTATTATTGTTGTAGATGTTTGAGTTGCGAAAATATGGACTTGTTTTTTATGTAGGTTACATGATTTGTAATAAACTGGTGATCTATTGAACTAGTTATTATTTTAATGTGTTTTCATATAGTTTAAACTTAAAATAATTATTATTATATTTGTATAACAATTATGATGGATTGATATTCACGTTTTCTTATATTTTATTGTAATTGTTATTGTAGTTGTTTTAAATTTTAGTGTTATTGATTTATTGTGTTATTAAATTGGTGCATGTTATTTAATTGAATTGTTAAAATGATACAAAAATTAATAGTTATAAAAGTGTTTATCCAACTTCCTATTCAATTACTCGGGTAAGAAGTCGGGTAAAAATATTACACCTAATTTGGTAGGGTAAATCAAGAAAAAAAATTTTCTCAAAATATCGAATAGGAAGACAAAAAACTATAATTTCTATTCGTAGAGTTGGTTGAACATCCCTACCCAGAACTCTTTACTCTTTGTACTATAAAACATAAATTTTTTGGGAAGATATTAAAAAACATAAATTTTTTGGGAAGATATTAAAAAAAATATAAATCAAAAAAATACTATTTTATCATGGCCCGCGAAGTACCATATCAGTTTAAGGGTAAAACAAATAAATCCAAAAAATATTAACCGCTCATTCCGTCACTTGACATCCACTCAAACGGTCGTCGTTGCTCTTCCCATCACTCTCTCTCTCTTTCTCTCCCGCGACATGAACTAAACACCTCAGCATAGTTAACAGAGNGGTATAATTTATATTATAACATTATTATTGTTGTAGATGTTTGAGTTGCGAAAACATGGACTTGTTTTTTATGTAAGTTACATGATTTGTAATAAACTGGTGATCTATTGAACCAGTTATTATTTTAATGTGTTTTCATGTAGTTTAAACTTAAAATAATTATTATTATATTTGTATAACAATTATGATGGATTGATATTCACTTTTTCTTATATTTTATTGTAATTGTTATTGTAGTTGTTTTAAATTTTAGTGTTATTGATTTATTGTGTTATTAAATTGGTGCATGTTATTTAATTGAATTGTTAAAATGATACAAAAATTAATAGTTATAAAAGTGTTTATCCAACTTCCTATTCAATTACTCGGGTAAGAAGTCGGGTAAAAATATTACACCTAATTTGGTAGGGTAAATCAAGAAAAAAAATTTTCTCAAAATATCGAATAGGAAGACAAAAAACTNAAAAAAAATTCTTCCTTAAAATATCGGATAGGAAGACAAAAAACTATATTTTCTATTCGTAGAGTTGGTTGTAGATCCCTACCCAGAACTCTTTACTCTTTGTACTATAAAACATAAAATTTTTGGGAAGATATTAAAAAAAATATAAATCAAAAAAATACTATTTTATCATGGCCCGCGAAGTACCATATCAGTTTAAGGGTAAAACAAATAAATCCAAAAAATATTAACCGCTCATTCCGTCACTTGACATCCACTCAAACGGTCGTCGTTGCTCTTCCCATCACTCTCTCTCTCTTTCTCTCCCGCGACATGAACTAAACACCTCAGCATAGTTAACAGAGTAACACAACACCCATTTTCTCTCTCTAAAACCTATGGAGTCCCGAGTTCTCTCACGCGCCACCGGCATTCCCAGCGTCCCAGCACTGCGAAAGCAGCCGTCAAGGCTCATCCCCACCACCAGCTTCGCCACAGTGAAAACAATCGGAGCTGTTGGAGATGGCGGTAACCTCATATGGGGGAGGCAACTCCGGCCAGCTATTCTACTTGAAAGCTCGCCGGCCATCGGAATCTGTCTTCCCACTACCAAAAAAGAGATTCTCCGGCCGAGCATGGCCGCTGCGTCTTCGCCGGCTGAAGGAAGTGATTCCGCCGGGTGAGATCCGTTTTCTCCGTTCTAACCCGTAACCCAGACCATTTTTTTGGCTCCGAACCGATGAATTAACCCTTTTGCCTTTTCTGACCCGTGGTTTTCGCAGGGATGCTAAGGTGGCTCCAATCGGGTTCTTCGAGAAGTACCCGGCCCTTGTAACCGGGTTCTTCTTCTTCATGTGGTATATGTCACGTGCTCTCTCTAACTTGCGCCATGGCACGCAGAACTAAACTTTCTCCACCTCGGAACGCTTAAACTGTCAACTGTTATTTGTAAAATTTCTGATCCGTCCTTACTTTTTTTGTAGGTACTTTCTTAATGTGATCTTCAACATAATCAACAAGAAGCTCTACAATTACTTCCCTTATCCTTAGTACGTATAGATCGTAATCCCCAATGTAGATTAAGAAGTTTGTTCATGAAGCTGCACAAGTTAGCATGGTTGTGATGTATTTGAGTTTATATGTGCAGTTTTGTGTCAGTAATACATTTGTTTGTTGGGGTGGTGTATTGTTTGGTGAGCTGGACTGTGGGCCTTCCTAAGCGCGCCGTAAGTAGATTCATTCAACCTCATTAACTTTGATGATTATGGTTTATTTCAATTACATTTAGAATGCGGGATTTGAAGTTGATCAATGATGCACTTTATAATTACCATGAGAGTAATTGATTATGACTTTATGTATTGTTCACTGCTTAGCTTAATCATACAGCTTTTCATAGTCCATCATATTTTTTAAAATTGAAATTGGTATATGACCACATAAAGAAAATGAAATTGGTTGGTTAGTTGGTTCCTGCCTCCTAGTTTTCAAATACGAAATATCCATCCTAGTCACTATGGACATATTTGCCCAATTGACATGTCTGAAGGAATTAATGTTCAACTTATTGGATCCTTAGCAATTCATGCGAGGATTGGTCATTGGGAGTCTCTATAAAGCTCCTTTTATGGTAGAGACGAATACTATTTGGTAGCGGCATAAAATTCTTTGCCCCTGAATCAGGATATTAAGGAAGAACAGGTTGCCAGCTTGATATCGTCAAGAATTCCTGACTATTGCATTTAGGTCTTTGTGGACCATCAACAATAAGGGTTCTTATTCATGTTGGATGCTTTCTTGAATTTGATATCATCCACTCCTCCATAATCTTTTCAATCCCTCCCTCCCCAACCCCACCACCCACCCACACAAAAAAGAAAAAGAAAAAGTTCACTGTCGACAGAATGTAAAATTCTTAGTTACATGTTGCCAATTGTCCCTGTTTGTAGTGTTCCCCTTGTATCATAATTATATACATAGTTGCAATGATTTTGGACACCTTGTGTACTGACATGTTATTAATACCTGAGTTTGGTTCACTTTGTAGCCTATTGACTCAAACCTTCTTAAGCTGCTCATCCCTGTCGCTGTGTGTCATGCCCTAGGCCATGTGACCAGCAATGTCTCATTTGCAGCAGTTGCAGTTTCGTTCACCCACACAGTCAAAGGTCTTGTAATTTATGTTATTCAACGTAGCGTCACAGGGAATATGATGTTGCGATTATTATCTAGCTTATATTGTTTGCCAAGTAAAATGCATCTCGTTTATGTTTGAATCATTTTGAATCAGCACTCGAGCCGTTCTTCAATGCCGCTGCATCTCAATTCATTCTTGGACAGCAAATACCCCTAACTCTCTGGCTATCATTGGCTCCGGTTGTCCTTGGTATGCTCTCCTCGTTTGTCTGTGGTTGTTTGTCTTTTTTGTGCTTGTCACTCTCCCATACACCCCTTGTATTTGGAGTTCAAGCCACAGCTATCCACTAGTTAATCCTAATTTGCTGGTTACTTCGTTCTTAATAGTGAAACATAAAATATCTTGCAGTTTTCAGGCAAATGAAGATTGTGAATCATGCTGAAGCAAATACGAAAAACTAAAACTTTGAACGTTATGATCCTTGTGTACATATGGAAAACCTGAACTTGAACTACTACAATGTTAACGTTAAATTGAGTGCAGGTGTATCAATGGCATCATTGACTGAGCTTTCTTTCAACTGGTTGGGCTTCATCAGTGCGATGATTTCCAATATCTCCTTCACTTACCGGAGTATATACTCAAAGAAAGCCATGGTTATCTTCTATTCCAGCTTTCACCCTTTTATCTTTGATTAATTGAAGATAGACCCAAAATTGTAAAACATTCTTCTTTATAGCTCAGTCTCTTTATTACGTCTGCTTCTCCTTTGGCAGACTGATATGGACAGTACCAATCTGTATGCCTACATCTCCATCATCGCTCTCATCGTGTGTATTCCACCTGCCATAATTGTAAGACTATCTTTGATGACGAACCCGGATATTCTCTTCCTTACAGCAATAAATTCTTATCGTTTTTGTGTGATTTCATGTTTGATCACACAGATTGACGGACCTCAACTGATTAAGCATGGGTTTAGTGATGCTATTGCAAAAGTAGGGGTGACAAAGTTCCTCTCAGATCTCTTCTGGGTGGGAATGTTCTACCACCTGTACAATCAGGTATTTGTGTTTCATCTTTTGGGGTAACCTATAAAATTTGTAGGGTTATTGAACTCTTGTCCTTGCACTTACTCGATCTAACAATCAATTCATATCTCCCCTTAAAGGCTTAACTTCATGAAGCAGCAACCTTTATTGTCCCTGCTATTGTTAATATTTGAAACATTTTGTTCTTTTGGCTTCTCAGCTGGCAACAAACACCCTTGAGAGGGTGGCACCGCTTACACATGCAGTTGGAAATGTGTTGAAACGGGTGTTTGTGATTGGCTTCTCAATCATAGTCTTTGGTAAATATACATCTTTGCCTCTGCTTGATGATGTCCTATAGATACCGTTTACCAAGTTCATCGTATCGTATCGAAAAACAAAAATCTAACAAAATAATTTTGCAGGTAACAAGATTTCTACTCAAACTGGCATAGGAACATGCATTGCAATTGCTGGAGTGGCTATCTACTCATTTATCAAGGCCAAGATGGAAGAAGAGAAACGAGTGAGTCCAGTTTAGAAATATAGCGTCTAATCGTGGATCTATTTAATTTAAATCGTTTCAAAAATAAAATCAGTGTTGCAAAGGCGGCCATTCTTTAAGGTCCTCATTTAATTTATAGTGGTTTGCACCATCCTTATACTGCATTACCTAGTAAATAAACAACATTATAAACAGATCAGCCTCTGAAACTGCACTAATTTATCTAACACGCACCTTTTTTCGGTGTTTTCAGCAAATGAAAGCAGCATGAGACAAAGAGAGGCATCAACATGGGAGGAATCTTTCGTGTAGATTTCAATATTTTTCCTCTAAAAGAAGCAAATGGCGGATTAAATATTTCTCAATAATCGTGTAATTATTTTTTCAATTATATTTCTTGTCATTCACAGTACAGACAATTGCTAATTTGCAACTGGAATAATGTATTGAGATCATCTCTCCAAACCTACTTTTGGCAATTACAAGCTCTGACTTGAGTTAACAGAATCGTGAGAGGATGAAACATATGTAACAGTTTATTATTATCGGAACAGTCTTGTGAAGTTTTCTCTGAATCTTCGGTTTTTTGAGAATATGTTTTTCCTATGGAAAAGAGTAACACAAGGTTTAGAAAATCATGGATTCTACAANGCTCCTCATTTAATTTATAGTGGTTTGCACCATCCTTATACTGCATTACCTAGTAAATAAACAAAATTATAAACAGATCAGCCTCTGAAACTGCACTAATTTATCTAACACGAACCTTTTTTCGGTGTTTTCAGCAAATGAAAGCAGCATGAGACAAAGAGAGGCATCAACATGGGAGGAATCTTTCGTGTAGATTTCAATATTTTTCCTCTAAAAGAAGCAAATGGCGGATTAAATATTTCTCAATAATCGTGTAATTATTTTTTCAATTATATTTCTTGTCATTCACAGTACAGACAATTGCTAATTTGCAACTGGAATAATGTATTGAGATCATCTCTCCAAACCTACTTTTGGCAATTACAAGCTCTGACTTGAGTTAACAGAATCGTGAGAGGATGAAACATATGTAACAGTTTATTATTATCGGAACAGTCTTGTGAAGTTTTCTCTGAATCTTCGGTTTTTTGAGAATATGTTTTTCCTATGGAAAAGAGTAACACAAGGTTTAGAAAATCATGGATTCTACAAGTGGAAAGCTACATTGAAGAAGCCATTCTTAGTGTAGTCTGAATGTAAATGAATGTTTGTGTTTGTTAGTTTGACAGTTTCACTTCTCAAAGAGCACTTTGAAATTTGGATTATTTGGTAGAAAATGGAGCTGGATCTAAACACTTGTTACTGTATTGTTTCCTGCTACTGCAATAAAGTCAAGAGTCAATCAGTTTACATTTATATACTTTAAAGGTGTTTAAAGACGTGTTTCTGCAAACATGATTTTACATTAATAAACGTTAATTTAAAATAAGTTCCCATCGATCCACCTATAAACTGANTCATTTGGTAGAAAATGGAGCTGGATCTAAACACTTGTTACTGTATTGTTTCCTGCTACTGCAATAAAGTCAGAGTCAATCAGTTTACATTTATATACTTTAAAGGTGTTTAAAGACGTATTTCTGCAAACATGATTTTACATTAATAAACGTTAATTTAAAATAAGTTCCCATCGATCCACCTATAAACTGAAAAATAACAATTAAATGGTCGTGGTATATCACGTGTCCAGCCTCATCAGAGATGATCCTATTATCACGAACATCAGAATTTTGTCAACAAACTTCGAGATTGTATATCATGTGTCCAGCCATTGATTCGACCCAACCATGATTAGTTTTCTTGTCTAAGCTAAGATTCACTTCATTTTATTCATTTTCAATTACATTACACATTGTTTTTGACACATAAAAGGAATACAAATCATAGCTATTTGGGGGGAGAGAGAGAGGGGGGTAAAAAAAACTGAAAAAAAAGTTACAATTCACAAGCCAATCTATTATCCAACTCATGGAGCAAGTTGTNTTTGGGGAGAGAGAGAGAGGGGGGGTAAAAAAAACTAAAAAAAAAGTTACAATTCACAAGCCAATCTATTATCCAACTCATGGAGCAAGTTGTTTCTTGATTCCAGACTTCTGCTCAGCCGTTAACCGAGTCGGGAATTTGATATTAAACTTGATTCGAAGGTTGCCCCTCTTCAATGGCTCCTTTGGTATTAGCATTCCTTCTCTCGGAACAACCTCTTCATAATTTGGATGAATCACACTGTTGATAGGTATAGTCAGGTTCCTTCCATCGAGTGTTGTGAGATGGACTGTGTATCCTGTTAACGCTTCAGCGAGCGATATTTTTTGAGTGACAACCAGATCATTGCCATCTCTCGTGAACACGCTATGAGGTTTTTCGTCGATTATGAATACAAGATCTGCAGGAATAACATTTGGTTGTTCGTTCCCTTTCTCAGGGAATGTGATTTTTGTTCCCTTTTTCCAACCAGGCTTGATGTCTATGGTTAGAATCTCCTCTACTGGCAAGGTCTTCCTGTTTAACAAGAAAAATTATTGTTTTAGATACAAAACCAAAGATAAGAAAGAGGTGAACTATTTCTATTGTCTTGAGAAGAAACAAATATGTTGCAGAATAAAAGCATTTAGCAATAAAGTACGACGAAATGAGCAACAAAACCCCCCACCCTGGGTATGATCACTATAACAACTCGTGCCTTCTACAAGTTTCTCATCTAAGTAACACCCGATTTACAATAGACAATTAGACATAGATAGCTATAAATTTAACAACATTATAAGAAAGGGAAAAAAGATAGAAAACAGTAGTTGACTGGCCGAGATAATAATATTCCAGAACCATACTTCGGAGTTTATAGAGGATTGAACAAAGCATTTTCAGAATAGTGGCTCAACAAATGCCCCAGCAACCAAGACAAAGAACTGGTAAAATTCTAAAGGTTAATTGCCAGTCCATGACCTTCACTTCTCTAAAGAGCAAGCATAACGAACTAAAAATGGTGCCACTTCTAAAACCATCACTGAGATCTATGTCAGCACTAACTCAAGTTAAACTCACGAGACTTCCAAAGTTATACCTAATACACTAATTTGAGCCAAGTAGTCCCAAAAACGTAGGGTCCATATATTCAACTCCTTTACAGATTAGCAAGCACAAAATCATTTGTTTTGTTCCTTTTTTATGCCAATAATCTTTTCCCCAAGATATGCTATTAGCCCAGCTTTATGCCCACACTAGATCGAGTATAAGATAGATCCCTGCTTTTGCATAAACAGTACAATTGCTCTTGACAGTTTGATTGATAAGAAATATGATGCATTATCCCAACAAAGTATCTAAAGTGCACTTCCCACAAAGATTATTGAAAATCTGAAAATCTTGTTCTTCATTCTCCAATTACAGAACTGATTTGCGATCTTATCTATGTGAAGATGAGAGAGAAATTATAGACAGATAGCGCCATAAACAAGCAAACAGAAGTACCAAACTACAAACAAGCACAAGTTTTTTCGAGTACAAATTTCTAGTCTAAGGCAGCATATTCTGCTTCTAATGCACTCGATAGAAATAATGAACCACCAAAGAGGCTAATAAAGAAACTGTCTTAACATGAGCACTTTAAGCAAACAAAACCATACAATCAAAACCAGTAAAAAACAACAAATTATCAAGGAAAAATTCCCAATAATTGAATCACTAGCATAAAATTCAACAATGACCATAATTATATAGAAAGATAACTATAGCAGAAAAATCCCAAAACAATCTGAAATGAAAGTAAGCAAATTATACATGAAGGAGTAAAACCACTTACCCACTTGCATCAAGTATTTCCCTTGAAATCTTCATCTTCTTAGTGGTACCCTTGTATAGTTCTTCTAGGCTACAAGGCAATGTATTCTCAATTGGAGGCGCCTTTCGGGGACCTGAACTCATTGGTCTGCCATCCCCAAATGAACTGAACTTATCATCCCCAAACATTCCACCAGAAAACCTTGAATTTCCCCTCATGCCACTACCCCCTCCCATTCCTCCAAAAGGCATTCCTCTAAATGGGCTCGAAGACCCGAAAAATTCAGCAAAAATGTCATTGGCGTTTCTAGGACTGAATGTAAACACATTTGGTCCATCTCCTGATGAGAAAAATGTTGTCCCACCAGGTCCTCCAGCATCTGGCGGTGGCACTTGCCCTTTTAGCCCTTCTTCACCATACTGATCATAGATTGCTCTCTTTTGTGGATCACTTAGAACCTAATAAATCAAATTTAAAAAAAAAAAATCAACATCAGATACCATTACACATAATCCTAAAACCTCATAAACACACTCATACATACACAAACTTTGGCTGTTCTGCAAGTCCTACACACACACACACACACACTTATATATATACAGAGAGAGAGAGAGAGAGAGAGTCAAAGATGAGATTGTGATATGTTCAGAGAAATTTATTAAATCCAGATTAGATTACTCTGAGTGAACTTGGAAAAAAGTTACAATCTAGGAGACACAGAAGGAACTAAGAAATTCAACACTGTAAGTTCCTAAAAATAGATCAATTCTAACACATAATCATAGAATTTTCCGCAATTAATGCTCAGTACCATTCAGATATTGCAAATATTCACACACACACACACAGAGATAACGAATCAAAGAAGGGATTGTGATGTGTTCCTAAAAATCGTTAGAAGATCATCTCTATCACATAATCATAGAATTTTCCGCAATGCTCATTACCCTTCAAATACTGCAAATATTCATTCACACACAATTACACACACCCAAAAGAAAATAGAGATGGATACCTCATAGGCTTCCGAGATCTGTTTGAATTTCGCCTCAGCATCTTTCTTGTTATTAGGATTCTTATCAGGGTGCCACTTCATGGCAAGCTTTCTATAAGCTTTCTTCAAATCTTCATCTTTGGCATTCTTGTCAACTTGTAATATCTTATAATAATCCACACCCATCTGATATTCTCTCTTCTTCAACAACTCCTCCTCTTCTTCTTAGTGCTCTTTATTGTTGTTTTTCTGCTGCTTCTGCTAAATCTTTATCGAATATAATATGGGTGGAGCGCTTGATCTGAGAAAGATAGAGAGGATTGAAATGTATATATATATGAGAGAGAGAGAGAGAGAGAGAGAGAGAGAGGATGTATCTGGAAGGGGTGAAAGATTAGAAGAGTGTGGAAGTTACCAGATTTCAGTTGGGGCGCAGACAGCTTTTTGACCAATTTTATATAAACGTTTATAAAACGGTCTAGCTACACATCGGGAAAAAAAAAATTAGTACTTTTTTTCCATCAATAATGTATAAAATTTTATTATTTTATTATTTTTAAAATCAAGAGTCAAAAATAAATTAATATGAAGGAAAAATTCAATGTTACCCCCCTTTTTTTGGAATGAATTTTAAGATACAAAAATTTTCAATTAATCCCCTAAAAGATTAATTTTTTCATATTATCCTCTCGAAGAAATAAAAATATTGTAATGTGACTCGTGGTCGTCCATTTATTTTGTGTCAAATTAACCAATTAGAAATCACAAATCAAAAGAAAAATAAATAAAAATAAAACAGTTGACCACGTTATAATATTTATATTTCTTTTATGGGGCAAATTGAAAATTTGTGTATCTTTCTGGGAGTAAAATAGGATTTACCCTAATATACAATCAAAGGTATGCGCCAAGTACTAACGTACCGTATTCATCCCATTCTAATATTATTAAAAAGTTATTTATTAATGTCTTAACTTGATTTTTTTTTAAAAAATCAA